GCCGCGTGGCCGCGCGCTTGTGTCCGGGAAGCTTCTACATGCTTCGTCTGTGTGTAGCACTGTGGAAACTATAGGCAAAGGGTTGCATCCTTCTCACAGATTCATCTTGTGGCGCAATTGGCTGGCATTGCTCTGATTTTCCTAATTCTCCCGATCTTGCACAAGCGTTAGGTTGTCTCGGCCATTCTCGGACAGGGGGGGGGGATTTTAAATAAGAAAATTCAAAAGAAAAGGGAGCCCCGTAACTGTTTGCAGGAAAGTGCGACATCTCAAGAATAGCTCACGAGGGAATGGGATAAGGTGGGATTAAAAGGGATAGAGAAGAAGTTTGAGGACGGCGGGCCGATCGGTGAAAGCTATGTTGGTGCCTACGAGGTCACGGATGACACAATCGTTCAGCACATTAGTTGCGGCGGCATTTTCCACAGAGAGGGCAAGGCAAGGGATGCATTTTCGGCACCTTTTGATACTTGTTCTTTCCATGCATGTACTCTGTCGCGCGCAAACCATTAGTGTCGGGTTTTTGTGCCATCGATCGAAATCGGCGACATGCACTTAGTTAAGCGCTCGTTTGTGACAAGCACCGTTCAAAAGTCCACTTTTGTAGAGCCCCTCGTCTTTCCTGCATCTTCCAGTTCAGAATTAGTAGCATGGCACCCGAACAAGGGGAAAATCAAAATCGCAGCGGCGAACTTGACCGATCTCCTCACAGTAAAGCGTTGTCGTCTGCTCGGCTTCCCAGACATTCTGTCGCCGGCGCCCGCTAGGTTGCTTTAGGTGTAAAGATAGTCTAAAATAAACCGCACAAACTCAGTGCCGCATGAACTCCATTCCTCGAGTGTGTGGTAAATGGTGGAGCACTAGGAGCAAGCTGAAGGACAAGAAAGCTGACATGCTCGTGTTCTTTCGCCAAAAATTTTTGCGACACATAAGTCTAATTGTTCATCTGTAGCTTGAAGGAAGCCGTTATATAAAGTGCAACAGCATCAAACTCAGTTCCAAACTCAGTTGGAACTGAGTTGGAACTGACAAACGCAGCTTTAAACTCAGTTGCATTCTCTGATTTCTAAGTAAAGATATCAAGTGGTAGTGTATTTACTCACGTAATGAACGCACTGTCATTATAATCGCACCCCCCAACTTCAGCCATCAAAATTTGGATTTGTCTTTCCCCTGTGTAATCGTTGCACCCCCTACATTCATCTGGGGCAGTCCTGCTAACCGATACATAGCGCCTCCTTGCCTGTTGAATCTCTTCCGTTCTTTATTAATAAGGAGTTTTAGCTTGTACGAATACTTCTTTACGTTAGCGTGTTACCGGATACCGGTTTGCATTTCCCATCATAAAATAACAGATATTTTTCATTTTAGCACCTCATGTGTAACGTTTACGTACATACGTCAATGCATATACCTTTACGTTTTCGCTAACCATAAATGCTGATGCTAACAGCATATAAACTGCATTTAACTTACATCTGATTGAACCATCATTGTGGCGAAATCACGAGATCTTCTTTTATCGCGTACAGTGTCCTCGTATGCGCAAAAAGGTTAAAAATACAAGACTACTGCAATGATGGTGTCAACATCTTGTGACACTTCGTGCAACCACAGTCGGGAACACGTTGAATTAGGCGTAATGTTTTTGAGGTGAAAATGGTTAAAAAGATAACTCATTTGTAATAACGCCCCTGTACAGTTTATTGCATCAGACGTACAATATGCAATGTTTCTGCAATTACAATTTTGTGATTACCTGGTTCACTATTGACCCGCTAGATGGCACCACCTGTCCAGCTTGTTGGAAGTTTCCACATTTACGGCGTCTATGTCCTAATCCATTCTAGCTTTGGTAATCCGACTGAAACAATGTAATGGCTATTGGCGCTCACACTTCGGCTTATTTCAACTCGACGGTCGAGTTCCTGCAATGCGGATACCACAAGTTTTTATGAACGAAGGTGGATTTGTGAGATAGGGCGGGAAACGTGAAGCCTATAGGGTGGTAAACGTAAACTTTTAAACCAGATCTGGTGGGAAACGTGAAGGTTTACGTTCCGTAAAGACCCACACATGCGCAGATTCTATCCGGTATCCGGTAACACGGTAACGTAAAGAAGTATATGTACAAGCTAGAAGCCCCTACTATGCCGACTCTCCTCGTCTCATTGGTGAGGTGGGTCCCCGGCTGCCGCACTCCATATTGTTTCTCTTTTCATCTGTGCTTGGCACGTCTCCACTCTTTTTTTAATTATCTATGTGCCACAGTGGAGTTCACGAACGGTGTGAGTGTAGAGACATTGCAGCTGATAAGCACACAGCAAGCGAAGGCCGAGAAACTACCCGCGCCAACCGCCGGGTCCTTCCTGCAAATATGAAACTTTAGGGCCCAATCACTTGCATGCAATTTTCGAGCGACAACGCAGCATTTGCGGTCGCGAAGGGTCATTTGTTGCCATCGCGTCACAGGTTTCTGCAGAAAAAAATCGCTTGTCACTCAGAAAAGACAGTGACTATTTGCGCAACATGGTAGCACACCTGATATTCACTTCGGTTGCAATTTGCTTTTCATGCTTGTTATCCGTGTGTACTTCAAGAAACGCAAGATGCAAGCAACCTTTTTTACGGTAACTTCTCATATTGACAGCAAGGCGGTGGCCGTATTTTGGCGTTAATCTTGTTATTGACAGTTTCTTTTGACGCTTCGATGGTAGCTTGCTGCTATGTTAGTTACTTGATACAATGTCAATGGCGCCGTTGCAGTCATTGTGCGAGGTTACCGCAAAGTTGGCAGAGAGCGTTGTAGCGCACGCACTCTTCTGGGCACCCCTTGAAATCACAGCAGATACCACTGTAGTTGTTAAACGATTGTGAGAAAAGATAGCTGCGAAACGCTCTTATATTTTATGGCATGGGCAGGTGGCACTGGTACAGCTTGCAAAAGATAGCGCTATTAACCACGGAAGATAAGGGAAGTGTAACAAACAGAGTTAATATACTGACTCTAGAGGAAAGGCTGCCCAAATGGCCCATGCATTAAAACCTATAACCACTTGGGTGCCGCCACGCTGAAATGATACTCGGCTTTCGGGTGATGTATGCTCTCACTCGCCACTGCATGCTGCAATAACGCCTTACATTTTTTGCTGTTTTGTGGATCTATCTTGCATCTCAGTAAGAGGCTGTTGCATAAAATTGATCTGTTTGCTCACGGCAACAAAAAACACGAACAACGAGGCACAACCAAGGTGGCGGAATAGGCCGCACGTCGCATGGCCCTGCTCCCAAATGTTGATACGGTAATGGTGGCGCCATATTGTAAACAAACCTGCAAATGCTTTTTTCCGCACGCAGCAAGTTAGATAAATGACCATTTATCTTTCGTAAAGTAGTTGATATAAACATTACTCAATTTCAGTATGTTTACAATACATGAACACGCTTGTTTATTATTTACACTACAATAATTTGAGTGTTTTAAACTGATAAATTTAGTGCTTCTTTTAAGTGTTGTAATGCCAACAATGACAACATTCGAAGATGTAAGCGCTTTGGTGGTTATAGCATTTCCTGCCCAGCTTCTCCTCCAGAGTCTGTATATTAACTCTATGTCAAGAAAGAAGATGTTTCAAACAATGTATGCATATGTCAGTTGCAAAAGGCTGAGCGACCTAACTTTTTTTGGGGGGTTACTGCATTTTTTGCTCATCCCCAAAAAGATTTAATAAAATTTACCCCGAATAATAAGCACACTCACAACTTTGCTCTGATTTTTTTAGAAAAAAGTGTTTTCATTACGCGAGTAAATACAGCAATTGTTCGGGTTTCACCTTTCAACACAAGAACATTAAGAACTGAGTTTGTTTACTGTAGGAATACGAATTTTTTAGGTGGACATGATCCGGAATATTCACTGCAGGAGTCGTAAACAAAGGGGTATTATTGGTAGTAAGCTTTCATGAATGTCTTGGAAATATCATCGGCCAACAAGGGCATAGTTATTAACAGCGCTATCATTAGTATCACCTGTGGTAATGCTACCAGTGGTATTATCGATTGAACTGCAGGAATACTATCGGTAGTTTCTTTCGGTACATAGTTGTATTGATAGTCTCCTTCCAATAGTGTAGGGTAGCATACCGGATACTAGCATCTGGTTAACCTCTCTGCCTTCCTTTTTTCTCGTTTCTCTCTCTCTCCTTACAATAGTGATAGTTTTTATACTACTGATAGTTTTACATCACTCTTTTGAGTAAGTGGTACGAAGGCTTAGACGTATGTGGGTTGTGTTGTTCTAGGTTACTTAAATATCTGCACAGTTTCACCTGCTAAAAGAAACATTTTTTGAAATTACCTCCTAAAGTGACTCTACCACAAGTCATTTTAAATCCAACAAATAGTTGAAGCCATTGCTGATAATTGGGAAGTGGCTACTTTAGCCAAACACATTTCAACTTGAAATTTTGTGATAATTTTAAAGATCGGCCAGTGTGTGAGAGTTTGTACAGTGATATTTTACACACACAGAAATTGGTATGCTCCTTATCGTGCTTTGTGAAGCCCATTTTTTCTCGCTCAAAAGCAAATCAAAGTGGACGATTGGGCCAGTTGGTGATCCATGAGCGATGTATACTGCGTGGTTGAAGACATAGATAGGAAACACGCACTAGTCCTTGTCTTTTTCTCGTCCGTGTTTTCTACCGTGCAGTATACATCGATCAAACACAAAATCATGCTAGTTGCCCGAGAATTTTTACCTATTAAAGGTGAAGAGTGGAAAGGTGCTGTTCTTTTATTAAGTTATAAAGCAGGATCATTGCACTCTTCCGATTTTTTGAAATCTTTAGCATTATTTTCTCTCAGTCAAAACAAGAAAGGAGTCTAGTGCAAGTTCATTTCAGAAATCGGTCGGTTATAGATGATGGCTGATGGCATGTAACGCTTTGAAACGGGCAAAGCCAAAGGCATCTTCACTTGATTGCACTATGCTGGTGCAGGATAAGAGAGACATGTCCGCATGGTTTAACCTGTTTGCTGACCTGGACCCCCTGGCAAACCCGGATGCCATTGGAAAGAAGTCGACTGAACAAGACCGAAACTGCTGAAAGCCCTTGAGCATTCTGAGAAGGTAGATGCATATTATGGCACCTACTCTGTGGGCAGTATGTGAAAGGGCACCACAGTGAAGCCATCCTGTGACATTTGAGCCATGCAGCAATATTTCTAAAAATTTGTGGTTGTGCACATTAAGGAGCACTTCGATGATCTTGAATTAAAGCAGCATGTGCTCTGTAGATGCAGTCCGTTTCTTGCTACAGATATTTTATATTTTCCTTTTTTTCTTGTATTTCTTTATGCACTCTGGTTAATGAAATGTAACTGCAAGTAGTGGGACTTTGGAAATTAATCGTCAGTAATATCTTTGGCGGGTTCTCTTCATGGGATTGCTACACGTATTACCGCAAGAGAGCCATTCACAAGGCAGTGTTATGCTGTTGTGCGAGGAACTAGTCTTGAATCATAACAGGCTGCAGCAGCCTCAGTGACTGTTAATAAAGAGAGTTTATGTCCACTTTTTACACTGCTGTACAGTTTGAAGATTTTGTATGCTGTGTTGTACCTACAGAGTTGGTGTGTGTGCACACGTTATCTGGCATAGTTTTCTGTGACACCGTTTGCTTAGGAGTAAACAAAGTACACCTCAGTGGGGAGGCACATTCTTGAATATGGTGCTTTCCACGAATTCATGAATTTTATGATGTACCTACCAATGTAGGTAAGCTTGTTTCGTGGAATTACTAAGGGACATGTCTTGAAAAATGGCCTGCTTATCAAATGTTATCTAGATCATGGAGTTGTGTCTATGATTAAATCCCTGGTTGATGGTTTCAAGTTTTAATTTGTGAAGCAAATTGAGTTAATAGTGCACCTATTCCATGCAATGTGTTATAGTGCACTTTCTTTTTACAATGACCTTGAAAAGCATTTTCATAATATTAGCAAGAAATTTAGTTACTAAATTGTGTTCGGCTGTTTCCTTTCATTTGACTGATTATAATTTTTTCTTTCATAGGCAACTTTTGACCCTTAAGCAGGTACTACCTACATTTAGAAGAGGAAGAACAAGAGAACTGTATCAACTTTTTGTTTTGGTCATTGCACTGAACTGATGAATTCCACTATGTGTGGCCTTTGGAGTAAAGAGAAAGATTCCCTTAAAAAGGCACCCTCAGGATTTTTTTCTTTGTTTCATAATTTGTTTTTATTTTTTTATATTGATACTCTAATCTGAAGAACCTCATTATTTTATATGCATTTATGATATGTGCAATTAGATTTTGCTTTTCTTGGTTGCTTTTGATACAAAAGCTCTCATACACTTCTAGTCACGTTTTTTTTTCTCATCTATTTTGTAAACTTGTGAGAGGATTGTTGTGTTTGCTCTGTACTTCAGTTATTTTTCAGAGCATTTATTTTAATTTTTGACTGTGAACTTTTAGCATTGACATAAAAAGCTATGGGTTGTCACTATTTTATCAGAGACCTGAATATTTGTTGAGTCCTTCTGTTTTTTTGGGGAAGGGAAGCATTCTTATAAAGTCTGCCATTTTCAGCTTGATTTGATGTCATAACTGTTCTATTAATAAGTCATTTTATCAATGTAAGTCGCATTTGGCTGCTCAGAGCTTTGTTGTGACTGTATTTTGTTCTATATTATGTGCAGATTGTGCTATTCTGGCTTTGCAGTGGCGGGAAGGGTTGACTTGTGCAGTAATACTTTTGGTCACTGAGCAAGCATTCTTGGTTAAATAAACGTGTATTAAATGATGCCTGTATGCGCATGTTGACTGAGGCAGTAATGGGGTAGCTCATTAGGATGCTGCTCCCTCGTGACTGCCTGCTGTGGTAGCTAAGCTAAGTGACTATGGCATTTGCATTTTTAAGACCAAGGTACTGTGTTCAGTACCAGACCCATTTAAGTGGTCAAAATTTTATCAATGTGTAGTCCTCTTCAATGATGTGCCTTAAATTGTGGTTTTGGGATATACATCTCGAAATTTGTTGTTCACTCATATCTTTACTGGTATTACTTTAACTATATGTGAGCAGCAAGGTGTGCAGCAAGGTGAATTCCCAAGAGGTCTCCAAACTAGTATGCCACTTGCAGGTTCACTAAGCTGAAACGTGCTTGATGCAGTGGTATTGTTGCTACTACTTTTTGCAGGGGAAGTACAAGTGCTTGAAGTGGAGCAGAAAGTAAAGTGCAGCAGTCACTTGCTTACCATGAAACTGCCCAGCCATAGTGGGAATTATTCCGAAGACTGGGAAGGGCTGGGGTAATCCCGTGTGCCTCTCCTGCGATCACTTCTATTCTGATAATACTTCACTATCCTGCTCACACCTTTGCTTCGGCTCATCTTAAAAACTGCGTTGTAAACAAGAGTTCAGGGTTTACAGTGGCAGGGAAACGAGATATGAAAGTTATTTTGCATGATATCACGATGATTAGGCTGACAATATTTTAGAGAGATTATTAAATTATATATCACTAATGAAATGCTGGCTACAGTAAAGTGGCTTTACTCTTTAAAGTGAGATCATTCATTCACCTTTCTGAAATAGTGCGACTTTTTTTTTTCTGAACACTTGGCATGCATCAAAATATCTGTCACAGAAGAGAGGCTGCAGTTTGGGCAGCAGGTCATGGAAGTCTCTTTGCGCTAGTGTTTCAAAATGTTCCCACTTTACATTGCAAGGCGCACATGATAAACAACAACAACTGAGATATATGCGTAAATTACATTGGCATAACTGAGGAAAAAGGTTGCTGCCAGAGTTCCTGTGGCTAATGTGGGTGAAGTTGTTAAAGAGGTACAGCTATAACACATCAGATTGGCACCAGCAGTGTCTCATTTGTAGCCTTGCGTAAACCAAAGAAATTTTAATATTGGTTTATGAATTAAATAATTGTGTGGAATAATAAAGCATAATAATAGAAGATTGTGAAATTGTCTCTTGCATTTGAAAACAATGTTCAGTTGTTATGAGCATGTCAAGTTTCTCACAGCAGTTCTTTTTTTTTCATGTTTCAAGGTTGTTCCAAGAAAATTCGACGCAAGAATGCTAAGCGAGTGGGGGCCAACACATTAGCAGCACTCTCAAGGCAGACACTAGTAAATGACTGACATAATGGCTGGGTAGTGATGCCAACGGGGGGATGGAGTTGCCGAAATCAATAAAAATGCCTTGCTTCGAGGCCTTCATACATGCTCATTATCACCACTCAAAGCTGGTGCGCAGTTGTCCAAGCTACAGCTGCACCCAAGAGCATGCTAGCAAGTATTGCTGAAATGACCTCTTGAGCATTGTTTACACCGCTGGATACAGTGATTTACTAGTGACGTACAGTAGGAATCCCACTTGCCTAGAGCAGTGAAGTGTGTGGCTGTGGACGCTGTTGTCGTCCGCCGCTGCTATCTCATGTTAGCTAGAAGTGTTTGTTCATTCTTGAATTATAGCACAAGGACCAAGCATGCAGTTCTGCGACTGTTAGGCATATTTATAGTTTCACTCTTAACACATTTCCGCAGAAAACGGCAGCTGAGGTGGCCAGTTGGGCGCTCTAGGCAAGTGTGATTTCGTCTGTGCAAATAACTTAGTAGGAGCCGCACCCCTGCCTTAACGCTAACTTTTTTTGGGACCCGACAAATATGGAAGGGGGGGGAGTAATAGTCTCCCTCCCTCCTCATTGGCCGGGTCTGAAAGTAGCAAGCATTTTGCAGTGAATGGTGTAAAAATTATGAAAATGAAGTGATAGAGTGCTCTTCCCAATGACCTGCCTTGGGTCCTTGGCTCTCTGGAGAAAAAGGCTACACGTAAACAGTACTGTTTGAAATGTAACATCACCTATCCTCGGCTACCATTATCATCGAAAGCATGCATGGCCATAACCCGTCAATTTGAACAACGATCGGAAGAGTCCGGTTGAGGAAATATGTGGGACCCCCCCCTTCATCTCTTGTGTGTTCCCGCCTATCCCTCATTTGTGTTAGTCATACGCTACTAGCTTGCCATGTCAGTTTTCTATAGGACGGAGTTACATGACATCCATGGCATGATTTTAATGTTATGACCAGTCATATATGTTCATCATGTGCTCTTGCCATGCAATCAAGTAAACGGCTGTTAGATAATTATTTATGACCCAGCAACACCACCTGGAAAAATACTATGTCTGCAACGTAGCTTTGCCATTAAAGGAACGCTGCCACACGTTTCGAGCGGCGCTGTGTGGTGGTGTTAGCTAGAGTTGCTGTATATGCTTCCTTTAGGTACAAGACTTGCGTGTCTGTTTTCCAAATGCCGCTAGCAACCATGCACTGCGGAGAAGCTGATGCACAGGCCGCACCTAGAAGACATGGCCGCGCCGCTGAAAGCTGTTGCCGTCCACTTACAATCTAACGTCACCATCGTGCGCTTTGCATCTCGCTAGCTACTAACTGGTACTTTTGCCTTAGATTGATGTCCTTGACCTTCGACAGCAAAGTATTCACGTCGATTCGGCACCATTTACGAGGAGCGTACAGAAATAAGCGATGCTGTAGGCTTAGTGAGTACACAAGAGTTGCAACGTGGGCTTGTTGGTGATGCATTTGAAAGACTTTAATGCAGCAAAAAAACGTCTTTCAAATTCTTTCTTGGTGAGTAGTCTGAAATCTTGGAGGACATGTATTGCGTGTTTGTCACTTGCTTTTCATCCTCTGTAACTGGAGGCACCTCACGTGGCTGCAGCGGTGGCACATGTTAGTCAGCATTACTCCGCGCCTTTGCATTACTGGATAGACTACAAAACGTTTTTGTACTCACGTGGCAGTGTCCCGAAAGCTGGTGTGTCTTCTTTAATCGCCGGTCGCCGACACGCCAGGCATGCCGACTGGCGATCGGAGGTCGCGTGCAAAAACAGTGTGGCCATGAATGCATTCATTCATTCATTCATTCATTCATCCATGGCCCCCACTGTACAGTGGGGCCATGAGCACACTGCGCTTGCACAGGCCGCCACAGGCGGCGCATATAACGCCGTGCGTCCAGCGCCAACGCGGCCGTTTTCGCGTCCCTGGGGTGATGAGAGTTTCCTCGCAAATTGCACGCGCGGCTGTTTGTTCAAGCGTTGTGTTGTCTGCTTGTATTTCTCTGCAAACTGCTGGCTGGTTTCTTCCGAACGTGTAAGGTGTGGATTAATTTTTCCGACGGGAAAATATGACAAAATTCTGTACGATTCTGTACGGGGCACATCATGTATACAGTGTCAATTTTTTTGAAAGGAGACATGGCGACGCGTGGCCTGCGCGCTCCGGCGGCTGCTGGCAGCGTGTTCAAGCGGGAGCGAGAACAACCACAGTGTCTTTTCGCGTCATCTCGTGGTGAGTGAAACAACCATTCGTTGCTGATATAAAACGGCAAGATTGCAACCCCTCCCCCTTAAAGCCGATTACCGGCTTTCGCGTGATCGTCTTGAATGGGGAGGGGGTCGCAATCTTGCCGCTGGTTCCATATCAGTACCGAGTGGTTGTTTTGCTCGCCGAGAGATGACGCGAAAAGAGACTGTGGTTGCTCCCGCTTGAACACGCTGCCAGCAGCCGCCGGAGCGTGCAGTAGTAGTAGTACTAAACATTTATTTAAAAAAAAAACAGAGGTTGCCAGGGAGACCAGCTTCTAGTGGGTCAGCCTCCCTGCAGTACTAGGTGGAGTCCCATTGGTCGTGGCCGCTGTCCTGGCACGCTGGACCATGGCTCGTTGGGCCGCAAGGTCTTGGCAACCGAGCAGGGCCGCCTCCCATTCATCGCTAGTTGAATTTGGGTTCGGGGGCAAAGAAGGATTGAAGTGGTTCTAAGAGAGGGAAAAGAAGAGAAAAGTGAGACCCGTAACTGTCTGCATCAGGGTGCGACACCTCAACAGTAGCTCACAGGGGATGGGGTGAGGAGGGATTAAAAGGATAGGAGTAAAGGTGTAGAGAGAGAGAGATGCGCTAAGCCAGCGAGCGAGGACATATCGAGAATAGGAGAGATGGGAAAGATGGAAACACGGTCACAGGAGTCCGAGGACGGAGCACCACTTGCGAGAGCTCTTGTCGGCGTCAGGAGATGGCGTAGGGCAAGTCCAGTAGGTCAGAGCTACACTATCTTCGGAGGTCGGTGTCAGGAGATGACGTATAGGGCCAGCCCAGTCGGCCAGAGCTACGCTGACGTCGGAGATCGCGAGGGCACAACCGGTCGGCACGGAATCCAGCGAGCGAGTCCGTAAAGAAGGATTGAGCTGGCATGTCCATATCATGTGGTAGGTGTCGGCCACTTCCGCGCAGTACTGGCAGAGGCCGGAAAAGGGAGAGTCAAAGTGTTTAAGCACTGCCAGGCTCAGTAAAGTATTGGTAAATAGCCGGAGAAGAATTCTCTCGTCCGCCTTCCTAAGTCCTTCGCAGGGCGGAGAAAAAACGGCGGTGGGAGTCCCGGTAATGGGTAATTATCTCTAGATAAGTTAGGAGAAGAGCGTTCTTTTTTTGAACACAGGGGTCAGTGGTGGGCGAGGCAGTGGCCCGGGGAATGAGTGCGCGGGCGGCAGCGTGCGCCGTCTCATTTCCTGCGAGGCCCTGATGGCCAGGAGTCCAGATTATTGAACGCGGAGAGGGGTAACCTACTCGCGGACAAGATTTAAGAATTTTCGCAGCTAGGGGTGTGATGCATCCCAGTTGAAAATTTCGGCAAGCTCCTTTGGAGTCTGATCATATAATTTCAGAACTGTTGTGGGATATAGCCACAGCTATGGCCGCCTTTT